ATGATTCCCATGTAAAATAACTTTGAGCCGTTGACGATGACTTGCTCGCGACTGTTCTTTTTTTCTGGGAGCGTTGACGCATGGCTTGTTGTTGTTGTTGTTGTTGTTGGTTCATGCAGAGGATGTTCCTCGTCCTAGGATGTGGCTGACCATGGATGCAGCAGCCTGACAGAGAGGCCCAACCTGTGTGAGCACCCTACCTAGGGTCCTCAGGTTTTGTAAATACATGTACAGATTTACAGTTTGCATGGAAATGTTCAGAGAAAGTCAGAATAACAATATGTTATGCTTCTCGCAAAAAAAATGTTATTATGCAGCAGAGTAATGTTTGTACAGATATGTAATCCGGATGGGAACATTTAGTGCATGTAGAAGTATTTACTCCCTCTTTCCGAAAATACTTGTCGGAGAAATATGTTATGCAGCAGAGTAATGCCTGTACATATTTGTAATCTGGATGGGAACAGACATATGGTGCATGTACTAACTCCGTTCCGAATTATAAGATGTTTTGGATATTTCAATATGGACTACATACGGACTGAAACGAGTGAATAGATACGCTAAAACGTGTCTATATACATCCGACTCAAAAAATAGTTATAACATCTTATAATTTGGAATGGAGGGTGCATTATTTATGTGCTAATGTGATTTACATATGATTTCAACTGAATGAACACAAGGCTTCTTCAGCTCTCCTTTTCTCTGTGTGCGCGCGATTGCTGCCCTTAAAATTTTACTTAGCTTATTCTAACCTCTTTCTGGTGATTCAGTTAAAGAGGTTGCTTAAGATGTTTGCCTACAGATTTATCGGTGAGGATAACAAATACTCCCTCCGTTTTAAAATAAGTGTCTTAAGCCCTGTTCGGATCCACTCCGCTCCACGGCTGCAACTCCCGGAGCGGAGGGAGCGGCAGCGTAATCGTACGGAGTGGCTGAGACCCAGCTCCTCGTACGGAGTGGAGTTTTGAAACGGGAGAGGTACCGAACAGGGCTTTAATCTTAGTGATACACTTTGTACTAATGTTAGTATAAAGTTAAGATACTTATTTTCTCTGTCCCAAAATAAATGCCTCAACCTTAATACAACTTTGTACTAATGTTAGTACAAAGTTAAGATACTCATTTTGGGACGAAGGGAGGGAATAAGTTTATATAAGTGGAGTTTTTTTTTGAAAGAAGTTTTGTCAGTACCACATAGGTACAGTACAGTACATACCACAGTACACTGCTGGTATAGCGTAGAGTAAAGCAAGTACAGTACATACCCTGTGCTGTGCATATGGACGATTGGTACTACCGAGTTTACGGTACATATGCTACGTACCACCGTACATGATGATTGGTACGGACTTTAATAACGCGGTAGATGGAATTTAGGGGCCAACATAGCAGGATCACAAATTTCTGATTTTTTTGTTGTTGTTGTGACGAACTTCGACGAATGTTTTCAGTGTTTGCAAATTTCATGATCAAATGACATTCTTGGAAGTTGTGGCAAAAAAAAATCAGCACTCCAAAATACTTTAAAAAAGCTTTTTTTTTTTTGCCACGACGTCCACGCATTTTATTCCTTGCTGAAATTTTGTGAGCAATTTTATTCCT